TATTAAGTTAATTCTTATAGTTTACTGTTTATAAAGGATTTGTTTCATGATTTTATTTTTCCTGATTTTTTGCTTTTAGTAAATCTATATGTTATTGTGGTGAAAGTATAGCTATTACAATCCTATTTTGAAATCAGTTGTATTGACCTTATAAACAAAATCCACTGCTGCAAGTACTGTTCTAATTGAATAATAATTTCTTTCCCATACCCTGCTTTTTGTGTGTTATGTATGCAATGATTTGTTAAGCAACTAATTTTATTTCTTGCAAAATCTTCATCAGCCTAAAAGTTATTTTTGGGATGTTTGTTTTGTATCATTCTATCCGAAAAACAATCATTTTTAGTCTGCTTAAGTTTAGAAACATCAGTTTCTTTTGTCATTCATTTATGCATTTAACAATTATGTCCTACTAATCTTTCTATCTTTCATCTTGTTTTATTTATTTTATTATTTTTCAAATTCATTCCTGACAAATTTTACTCTGTTGGGACACGTGTGTAAAGGATGCAATTGATCTCCTACAAGGACACTACATTGTTTCTGTTACCTGAGATATCGCCCCTACATCTGAAAAAGGAGGCCTTGAGGCTGTAGCTGTGAGTACAATCCAAACAACTGTTTAGTTATATGCATTTAAAATGTGAATGATTCTCTCTGATTTTCTTGTAACTTGAATAATGAAGATTGCCATATCATTATCATCCAAAGTAGCTTCTTCTGTCATTCAATTTTAACATACTTTGGTTTATTCAAATCACACTACTGGGCAAAGACTGAAGAAAGGAGGTGTGCTGCATTAATAAAACATTTAGGTCATGTTTGTTTGGGTGGACATGAGCTTGGGATTGGACTAATAGTCCAATAAAATTATTAATCCGATGTTTGGTTAAACAATTGAAGTACGGACTAATTATTTTAAACTTGACTTTTAGTTAAGATAGGATACATAATCCAACAGATTCGTAATTTCAGGATTATTAGTCATGGGAATGCTAATCCAGTCCGCCTAAACAAACATGGCCTTAGTTGCATCTTTATGAACATACCTTCAGTAGAATTTAATTATTTAGTTGGTATTAAAGCTTATTTGAGTTGAGTTACATTTTTGTTAGTGGTGGGTAAGATAATGGTAGTGTGGCATCCAATTGGCCTAAATCAGATTTTAGTGCGATTAACTAATAATCAACTCGTAATTAACAAGTTGCAGCTACATTTTGTTGTCTACTTGTGCTATTATCTGAAAAGTAGCCATCTGGATTAAAAAAAATTTATTAGAAAGTACTACTTCCCATCTGTACTCGTCATAATGATCATGATTTATTAGTTTTCTTTTCAAGATCATTTATCTCATGAACCATGAAGCTTAGATCATTAAATGACATAATCATGATTTGGTGTCATTTTTCTGATGAAAAGCGCCAAAGGTCCTGCATTCCATGGAAGAAAATTAATCATATATATAGTCACATGCTTAGAGGTATGCATGCACAAAATGTAAGAAGCAAAATGTTAATTATCACTAATAAAATCTATAAACAATACCAACTTATTATATTTTTGTTGCCACTCTCACTCTCTCTCTCTCTCTTTTCATTCTCTTGAAAATTTCATTTTAATTTTCAAGAGAGGTATATTTGTCTTTGTTAAGTACTTGAGAGTTTCTAGGGAATGTGACTTGTATTCCTAGATCATATGAAGCATGGACACCTCTCCGGTGGTCATTTTAATTTCAAGAGGCATATTCCTCAAAATGTTAGCCCTATTTTAGTGTGATAATGGTGGAAGTCTGAAATATAATTTCAATAATTTCCACTTTCTTTCCTTGCCTTCCCTTTTGGCTATGATGAATTTTTTTATGACAAATTTTCTGCTAGAAAATTATGGAACAATAAATTTCTCCTTCTGACAGACAATCTCATGAATTTGTTTCTGCAGTCCTTTCCACTGGCTTTGTCACTGGTCCTGCTTGAATTCTTCCTCACAGTACTGTCATTTGAGTTAAGGTGAGTTGTTCTTTATTTGGGTAAATTCTGCAGTCCTTGTGTTCCATAATATCTTTGGTAAAGGTTTAAGCCCTCTGCTATAATAGCATTATTCCATATGGAGTCCGTTACTAAAAAGAAATAATTGGTGAAAAGGAAAAGAAAATATTCTCTTTGTATGAATTTGATTAGGATAAAAAAATTTCTAGGAAAAAGAGAAATGAATTCTAATTATAAGTATTCACTTTTACAAACAAATTTTTTTTAGGGGGGTAATAAACTAAAGGCTTAGTTTCTATGTTACCATGGGTTTTGTAGAAAAATTAACTTCCACAACTTTCATTCTGAACAAACTTAAGAAAAGTGGTTTTTGTTTCCCCCACACTTTCCACCACTTTCATCCTAACCAAACTTGGCCTATATGGAATGTGCATTTGTCTAGTTGTTAGTATTACTTGAATACATAGTATTGCTTTCTCAACATTCATGCAAATTCTTTATTTATTTATTTATTTATTTTTTTTTCAGTTCGATATGATCTTTGACACTAGTTCTTCTCAACCTTGTGGGCAAGCATGGGTGTAGCAATAGCTGCATATGTTAAAGCCCACGGTAGGATTTTCTGTAATCAGCCTCGTCTGCACAAACCACGGCGTTGATGATTCTAGGTTAAGGGCGGTGCTCCTTGCAATGTGGAATATTTATCAAGCTCACTTTTACTGCTGATCATTTTTCTTCTTTTAACATTATTCTTTGTAATCCATATAATTTTTTGACTTGTTCATTGTTAAATTTGAAGGTTTAATAATGACCTATATTGGGATGCTGCCTTTTTCGGGTATCACCTTTTTTTTTCCGTATTTTTTAGGCTGCATTAAGACTGGTAATTTTACAGGAATGCTGTGTAAGATGAACCTTTGTACATGTGTACATGTCCAGTTACATGCACAAAAATCATGTTTTATTGTAAGATTTACAATTGATTGAATCTCACTCTTCAACATGATGACAAAAGATTCAGTTTTCATAACCCTTCCTTTTGGGGTTCAAGATGATGTTTTTCTTTTAATATATTGCATGTTTTCTGCTTCTCAATATATATATATATATATATTTGTCTATATGTCGTCTTAATTCACATAATACTTAGTTTATTTTTTATAAATAATTCATTAGTCATATGAATGAAAAAAATGATATTATATTTTTTTATGCCGAAATGTATTTTTTTTATTTGTTTATTCTTGTGTCTTCGCACCATGTGAATTAGTTTTAATTCCTTTAGTCTTATTGAAAAAAAAAAAATCAGTATAATTATACTAAATTTGTGGAGTTTGTTATATTATTTATTTATTTTTACAACTTAGGAAAAGTCGGTATAATTTTCAAATTACAACAGAGCATTCTTGTGTTTGAGTTTCATTACAGCTATGGATATTAAATTTAGAATTTACGTTTTAGCTCTACTATTTTTTTGGAGTAAGTTATGTCGATAGTCCTGTATTTTGGCCTAGTATCATTTTGATTTTTATAATTTCAATTAGTTTAATTTTGATATTAAATTTGTGACTTTTTAATTTAGCCTAATTGATTATAATTATTTGTAGTTTAATGGAAAATATACATTAGTGGCATGTGTTATGTTTTTAGAGACAAAATTAAAAATTTACTTAATTCAATAAATTAATTTTAATCAATTCAGTAATTATTTTTCGCAAAAATAATAATGGTGTTATTAATTTGATGAAATTGACAGTCTAAAATTAGTCAAAATTGAATTAATTGTAAGTGTAGAGACTAATATGATATAAGAAACAAAATGTAAGTTGGGCCAAAAAAAAGAAAAAAGAAAAAAGAAAAGAAACCAAATGTAGAGCCTATTTATATAATTTGCCATATTTATTTCTTTCATTAATTCAAAGGCTCTTGTTTAATATATCATCAATTGGAAGCACGTATTTATTAAGCATGGCAATGAAAAATTAATAGATTTGAGCTAGATTGACTAGAAATCGTAAAATACCTACTCTATGATCTCTTTTTGTCGTGGATGACCCTTTTCTTGCAGCTTTCAACAAAAGGAACTTTACTAGTGGCCATGTGGTTTATGAATTCTTCTCTGATTAGATTAATTGTGGGTTTGGTTTAGCTCTAATATTCACAATGTCACCAACTTGCATATGTTATTGATCTATGCTTTTGCTAGTTAAGGTACATGCGTCAAATGTTAATTAAAGCATATATTCTAATCATTTGGAAAATTCATTGTATGTTATCCTATGTATATAATTTATTTTCTTGTATTCAAGTGTCAAATAAAAGAAAATTAAAAGCAAATGAAGGTGAAATAGAATAGAATCATTATTTTTTAACTTACCTGAAGAATGATGTTTAATTTTGCGGTGAATAATGATTCAGTTTACAAAGTATTTTTTAAATAAACTGAAAATGAACATCCTAACCGAATGATTATTTCATTAAACACTATTTGGTAATTTGAGTTCAATCATAACAAGCATTTTCAAAAACTAGTTCAAGAATTCGAATTTTATGAGAGCAATTCCATTGTGGTGCAAAATCCCATGCCAAAGTCAAGTTTTGGAAATTGAAAAAAAAAAAAAAAAGTCTCTAATAGTGTGCTAAAATTTATATTGTGCTATAGTATAGCACAACGCAAAATTTTGATAACTTTAACAAGTGATTTTTGCCTAGTCTAAAAGTTTATGAAGTTGTCATGTATCTAATTTTAATATTTAAAGTTAAATACAATTATATCGTATGATAAAGATTGAATCATAGAATTATTATGCCGAAATATGACTAGTGTACAATTAGTGCATTGCTAAATTTTTGACATCTTTGCCTAGAGATGACTTTGGCTATTAAGTGAAAATGTTTTGAAATACTTAAATCCCTTGAATTGCTTAAGAAATATGCTCAATAATTAGCTGATGATATATACTAAACAAATAGATTGCATGCATTTAGAGATTAATCGGACTATGTACCCCCAAAAAAATAATAAATAAATAAAGAGAAATACTTGAGAAAGATGGAACATGATGTGTAAAAATGTTAAAAGAAATGAAGAACTCTATTATTGCATATGATATGACAAACAATCAAAAGTCTTTAGTAAAATTTCTCAAAGTTACTATTGACTCACAAATAGTGAAATTTCTCTCCACACACACATAAAATAAAAATAAAAAAGGTCCTCCTCTAAGATGATGATTTATAAGAAGTTGCGTAAGGAGGCCAATAAAGGTGAAACTCAATCTTGTAAGTAACAGTGATCCCAACCAGATCCACGGGCGATGACGTCACGTACCCTTGAACAAACAAGAAGTCTCCGGTGCCTCCGACCACCGGATGATCGGCCGGCTTGATGTTGTGGGTCACACCAGCGATCGAAATGGACCCTTTTCGGTTCTTCAAGTTGAGAGTGATTTTGGCAATGGAAATGCTTTCGAGTCCGTCAAGAGATGTGGTGATTGAAGTCCCCTGACATATCGCAACAACTTTCCCAGTAGTGTTTGGAGTGAGAGTCATGGGGTCATGGAAAGCGAAGATGGTGCCGAAAGGGGTGGTGGTTTGGCTGATTCCTGGTCCGGTCACGCCGTTGACTATGAAGAAGCCTGTTTGGTTTATGGTTTCGTGTTGGTAGAGGGAGAAGTGGAGGGACTTGAGGTGGTGGTCGTGGTGGTCGTGGTGGTGGTGATGGTGGTGGTGGGAGGCAGAGGTGGTAGATGAGAGGAGGAGGAAAGGAAGAATGAGAAGGAGAAGGTGGTGGTGGAGGGAGAGAGCCATGGTGGTGTCTTTCTACCGTTGTTGGTGGTGGTGGTGCTACGTGTCTCTCACTAGTTTATGATTGAAGAGTAGTTGTGAGTTTTATAGAGGTTGTTGGAGACATTTTATTGCAAGGGAGGCGTTGAATTAGTCAAATGAATTGATGTATGGAGTTGAATTACTGTATACTCTCCTTTTCATCATTGAAAAATTTATAAATTTTATGATATTAGTTATGAATAATTATTTTTTTTAACATAACAAATGGAGTGGGCGGAAACATGAAGTGATGAGTGATGAAAAAAAGCCGTAACGTTTCATCTCATAGAGGTTAAAAATATAAAATTTATTGACTAAAAATTTTAATTTTATTAGAAAAAAACACTTTATTTAAGAAGTTAAGTTTTTGCTAAAAGAACTATTTAAGAAGTTAAAAACCTGTGTCAAATAAATTAGACCAATAAAAAGACATAACCCAGTTTAATAACTTTTTAGATCAATAATTATTCATTTAAAGTATATATATCACCTAAACTTGTACTAGGGACATTGAATCATTTCTCCAGACATAGAGACAATGTTCAAGTGGATGAGTCATTGAATACATCAGTGTAAAGAGGGATATCAGAACATGTAAAAGCATGGCAAATAATTTTTGAAAATAATAATTGAGAGAGAGAAACAGCGTGCTTGGAAATGTGACATCTAGAAAAACAGAAGAAAGAAAGACGGAAAAAAAAAAGAGTGTATACCCTAAAGAGAAGGCTATTGTGATTGGGACTTGTTTTTTATTTTTTATTTTTTTGGTTTTGTTTTCACGTCTTCTTTTCTTTCTTTCTTGGTTTCTTTCCCGTGTGAACTATTTGTATATTGCCAATGCAATGACTTTCACTACCTAGTCTAGAAGGTTTCTTTGACCATCTTCAAGAAAAATGTAATCATTAATTAATAGGAAAAAAGAAGAAGCTAAAATATATTGATTTCCTCCTCCTTTATGAATAAAATAGTAGAGAAAGGAAGAGAGAAGATTGAATTATCTTCTCCTCTTGTTTGAGAAAGGTAAAAGTAAAGGTTATTTACACATAAATTTTAATTTATAAATTTATATTCTATTAAGTTTTAATTAAATTTTTAAAAAATTTTTAAGTCTTATTAAATTTTTAATAGTCGAAATTATCCTTCAAATAATGATTGTTCATTATTTATTATTATTTATATAAAAAATGATGAATTGACATTTATTTTGATTTTTAAAACTTTAAAAAATCAATTTTCAAATTGGAAAAACTAAAAAAAAAAAAGTATGTGCAAATTATATATATTGTTTTTTTGAAAAAATTAAAAAATTGAATTATTTTTTGTACAAAATTGAAAATTTTGTGTCTATAAAAGAGTATGATGATGGATATTGATGTGCAAAACTGGAAAAAAAAAAAATTTAAAAAAATTGATAATATTCTCAGTTTTAAAATTAAAAAAAATTGATAATGTTTTTGATTTTATTGGATAGTTGAATCAAACCAATAAGTAGAAGGACAAAAACGTTTAATCTCATACTCTTTTTTTTATCAATTAGTATTATCTGAAACATTACTACGTTTAATCTCATACTCTTTTTTTTATCAATTAGTATTATCTGAAACATTACTATGCAAAATTGATAATATTCTTAGTAATTGAAAAAAACTGATAATATTCGTAATTGAAAAAAATTGATAATATTATCAGTTTTACTAAATAGGACTTATTGGTTAAAAAAAAATCTTAGATAAAACCTGAGATACCATAACATTTGTAAATAAGAATTTTAAAAATAAATAAATAAGAAAATGAAAAAAGGCTTTCTAATGTTAGTGGGGCTAAAAGCAAAAAGAAATTTTGGTGTTTAGTTATGACATATTGTAATATTAGTTATGATTTATTATGATGCTAGTTTATGATCATAAATGTCATAATTTACATATATTACACCCCAAAAAGAGTATATATAGAAGCATAACCCATATATATATAAGAGTTTCTATTTTCACACCACATGAATTCTTAGTACACACTACCTTCTCAGTTCAAACCACACACTTTTTGAACTGTTTGATATTTTCACTATTCACACTAACAACTTTCTTTAAAAAATCCAAAATACCCTCATATTCCCATCTCTTCACCCCTAACTTAATTCTAACCCTAACCCTAACTCTAACCCAAGCCACAACCCACTATTATTGTCACTGACATTGCTAATTATCGTCATCGCCATTATCTCCTTCAATCATACCCGTCGCTTCAATCTCATTTTTAATCACCTCCATCTCTCTTTGCTATCCACTCACATACATGCTCTTGTTTGAAATGGTTTTGGAAAAATCATATTTTTCCTCAACTTTGGTCTATTTTTTAGGTGAGACCTATGCTCTAAAATTGGCGGGTCTAAGTGGTAACGCATTCTATGCCGCGTTGTGATTCATGTAGTATATTTGGTTGCTCAAAACCAATATCGGGTGAATGAAAAATTGAAGCCAAAGACAGTTCCATGAAAATAGTGTTTTGGTAGAATTTTCATAAAGGTTTGAATTAAAGGTTTATCTCACATTAGTTTGGTAGGCAAACTTTTGTGGGTTTATAAGGCTTGAGTTTGCAACTTGGGGAGGGCCCTAAGGGGCACCTCAAATTTATAGAAGGGAGTGGGCTAGAACCATTGGACCCAAAAATAAATACATGCACGTGCTGCCGCCGATCGTCCGTCTGGGCAGGCTGGGCTGAGCTTGGGCGCGGGTGCATGTGCGTGGTTTGAGGTTGAATTGGGCTTGTCCGGCCCAATACTAATTCTTTTTTGACCAAAAACATTTGAATTTAATTTTGAAAAAATAAATTCTGACCGTTTGAATTTAAATTTCAGTTGGAAAATTCAGTTTTGGCTTTGTGACAACCCTCGCCATTGATTACTGCTAAACTGTGACTGAACATGATTAAGTAACTAATTTGATTGGCATTCTGAACTGATTGATTGAGTGTATCAGTTTAAATGTATTTCTATCTTTTTGACTGTTAATTGATCTGTTCATGTTTTAAGTTTGAACTGTAAATTGAAGGCCTTATCGGCGGCCGAATTTGAAATTGACTAGTGTTTCATGTTAATTAGAATTTATGTGATTTTATGGTACATTTAATTGGAATGTGATTTGGAGTGGTTAAATTAGATTTAAAAAGTTGGATTACTTTAGTTGGCTTTAAATTACCAAATTTGCCATTTAGTGGGTCACTTGTTAAGACACCTTTGAGACTTGATTCACACACTTTTCCTAAGCCATTTTGAGACCAAAAACCGTAGGAGAGAGTGAGAGAGGAGAAGTTTGGTTTCATCTAGAGAATTACTTGGAGAACTTGAAGAATTGAAGAGTAGATTGTACAATTGAGCTTCCATTCTTGAAATTGAGGACCTAAGGTAGGAAAATCATCTTCTTGAACTTGTATTCTAGTTGTACCTTGCATGGTTAATGAGTCTTTAGTGATCTAAGTCTAGAATTGGTTCTAACATGTTGAATTAAGGCTTAAATCATACATGCATGTATACATTGTTGAGTTTTGAGGTTGATTTCATGGAAATCCTCACATGCATGTCTTTATTCTAGCTATGGTCCATGAATTCATCATGTTTTTGAGTGAATTGACTCATTTGATCATATATTGGAAGCTTTGATTTCAATTGAACACATGCATGTCTTATGTTCATCATGTTTATGAAGTTTTGTTGAAATTGTGTTTTATTGGAACTACCTTTGGGCTTTGGTTTTGTAAATTGATCTTTGAAACATGTCATATTATGAGTTTTAAAGTGTTTTCCAGAAAATTAGCCCAAAAGGATTGGATTTGATATTTGAAATGTTGAATTTGAGCTTGGAGGTTCAATCTGGAAATTCCAGATTTTGGATCCACACTCGAGCGTAAGACTTCACGCTCAAGCGTACAATCTAAGTACATATGTCCCGCTCGAGCGGGGAAAGTAACGCTCGAGCGTGAAATGCATGTATCCAGTACTTTTCATATGTTTATAGTCCGCTCGAGTGAGGGAATGCACGCTCGAGCGAGGACTTGTGTCTCACGCTCGAGCGGAGGTCGAGCACCCATCGAGCGTGAATTGCATGCATTCAGTACTTTTACTGTAGTTTATAGTCCGCTCGAGCGACGGAAGTCACGCTCGAGTGGAGATCCTTTGTCTGCATGTCCACTCGAGCGTAGAAAGCCACGCTCGAGCGAGACCTCTGTTTTCTGAAAATTTTGATAAGTGTTTTAAAGTACATCTTTGCATTCTCATTTCATCCTAGGCATTCCTAGGCCTAGTTTAAGGCATCTTAATGAGGATATTGATGTAGAACCACATCGAGTCAAGTTAGGGACTAAGTCATTGATTTCCAAGTGTGTAACTTAATGCGTGTTCATTCTGTAACTATGTAGGGTTGGCATCCGAGGACGCTCTAGCCTATCTGTAGCCTAGTGCTCTATAAGTAACAATATTGTAAAGATATATTCAATCATGAATATTTTCTGAATGATCAACTGTACTGCTTTCTGAAATGATATTTCTTACTGAATGAATGCTTGTCGTATTTGCGAACTGTATTCGTGGCATCCATAGCAATTTACTGTTACTGTACTGTACTGCTACTGTCACAGAGATCTTTGTCGGTTCCTATGTTTGGAACCACTACTGTTTACTGATATGATGGCCATCAACTGACTATTCGGTCTGTTAAGACCTACTGTACTGTTTACTATTGGATGTACCACTTATGACTGCTATGATTGAATAATTGATATACTGTTCAAATGACTGTTTTAAATACTGAAAGGACATTCATTCCTAACCTCTTTACGCATATGTTATTCACTGGGCTTTAGCTCACTGTTTATATATATATGTAGGTGTCCAGGCACCGGATCGGAGCCAGGAGCGTTGGGTTAAACTCCCTTTTTGTCAAGCCAGCCACTGTGCCTCACTAAGAGGTTCCAAGTCCTTCAAGCTAGGGCTTTTTGGGATGTTTTAGATTCATCATTTCTGTCTCTGTTTTTGTATAGACTGACTGTACCTATACTG